AAAAAAAAAAAAAAAGAAAGTTGCCTCCATGAATGGTGGCAATCGTTGGGCTGCCTATACACCGACAGCCTTTACTATACTTAGTCTTTTAATTATTTATATTGTTTTCTTTGTATGTGTTTCCAAAAAGTTCCAAATAACTTGTAAGGAAGCTCAGGATAACAACAAAGACTGAGTTCTCAGTTCAAACTTTAAACAATACATTATGCTGGAAAATAATCCTGCCATTGCATATCAGCTTTTATCCTTTCTTATATAACTTAAAATAACCCTGAAAAAAACACATTTTCTTTAAAAAACATACTGTTACAGTGTTCTTAGAGTACTAGGAATTCTAGACTTTAACTATATTCAGAACAGATTACTTCATGCTTATGTTTATAATAAGCAAGTCCTGAAAACACCCCAGACATCCACATATTTCCATCAAATTTTTTTGGTCTAGAAATCCTCATCTAAGAACAACTTTTTGTAATATGCTGTTGAGTCAATCCCAACTCATAACAAGCCTAGAGGAGAGAGTGGAACTGCCACACAGGGCTCCCAGGAAGCAGTCACTGCAGGAGCAGATCATTATGCACCATGTTTCTACTGGGCAGTGGCTGGTGGATTCATTCCCACCACAAACCGTTTTGGTTAGGACCGGGTGCTTGTCTAATGCGTCAATAGGGCTCCTTGGAAAGAGCTTAGGTTAAAAGAAAAACTTCTTAGTCAAATGTTTCCAAAAGTGTCCATTTGTTCAGTCTTCATGACACAATCTAAATTTCCAAATAACCTTAAATTTCACTTTTATAACCAGTACAATTATTAACATGTTGCCAGGTTAACAATCTACTATTAAATTTAAGTTTGACACTCCAGGGCAAAATTAAATAGTTCTCTCCTGTAATTTCTTTAAATTATAAGGATTTCCAACCTTAAAATGATTAGATATTACTTGCATTACATACTTAAAACATAGCTATGATTAGTTTTAAAAAATTAAGTCCTCCACTTAATCCAGAGTAGTACTTACAAAGCCTGTCAAATTCCTCTTTGGTGAGAATCACTTTATTCCATGTCCATTCAAGAACAAAGTGCAAATTAGTCGCAGAATTTGGTTGTTCTTATTTGTGAATAAAAGGAAAAATAATTATTAATTACAAACAAAAAACTATTACCTTTACAACAGAGAAACCTGGCAGGCACCACCCTAACCAAGTGAATAATATCATCAATGAAACAAACTGATTTCATGTACCCTTTTCAGTGCATCATTATCAGGGACCCCAAGTGACCTTATGTGTACTCCTATCAAAATGTAAAGCCTGAATAATAAACAACAAAAGGAAAGGCATTCTCTATTATATTCTTTGTAAATGTCAATTTCCCTAAAGATAAAGGCTAAGGAACCATGTCATATTAAGGAAGACACAAAGTAAGGAAAACTAAATATAGCATGATTCTGGATTTCTTTCTCCTCCTCCCCCTAGGGCGGGGGGAAATGCTTTGAAGGACATTATTTCAACAGCTTAGGTAAGATATCTAACAGGTAAGATACCAATGACGTCTATACGTAGACCAGAGCACTGTATCAACATTCATTTTCTCGATTTTCATAATTACAAAGTGGTCTTGTAATAATACCTCCTTTAGAAGAAAATGCATACTAACTTATAGAGAAGCACAGTATCTTCAAATTATTCTGAAATGGTTCAGAACAAAAATTTGTGTAACACACACACATGCGCACATCTACACACTTTTAAAACTTTTAAGCTTTTATGTGAATATTTGAATTGCAAATACATTTTTCTGAAAAAAACATGTATTATGTATGCATACATGACATATGACAGCAAACAAGCAACCAAATGGATGCCTATGGTGTTAGAAATGCTCTGATATCTTGACTTTGTCATTATGACAGTGTATTAGAGGGTTTTCTTGCAAGATGTTTCTACTGGAGAAAACTTTTTACACAAGATCTTTCTGGATTGTTTTGAAAACACACTTTCAACTACAATTACATTAAAATATGGTTTAAAAACAAAGCAGTGCATTGGTTAATTATGTAGTAAAAATATGTTTAGTTGTTAGAAAAAAAAAATGGAATCTTACCTTCTGTTATCCACCTTTTGATACATCCAGTCAAAAGTCCCAGAGAACTTGTATGAACGGCTGCAGACAATATAGCTTCTAACTGTTCTTCCTAAGTCATACATCAAAAAAAAGAATACAAAAAGAAATATTTATGGGAGTAGAAATCCCATCTTTCTCCCTGTAATCCACAGAAAACCCAAAAACCAAACTAAAATCTATCCCTGTAACTCACTAGGATGACTATAATCATTAACAAGCCTTAAGGATGTAGGAATAACTGGAACACTCATGCACTACTGGTGGGAATGTAAAGTGGCAGTCACTTAGGAAAACAATTTAGCAGTTCTTCAAAATGCCAGATTTGTTTATATGTATGCATGTATATGCACACACACACAAATGCTAAAAATAATTTCCACATAACCCACCAATTTCAGCCCTAAGTAAATAAATACCCGAAAGAAATAAAAACGGCTGTTTACAAAAAAAACTTTATTATGAATGTTTGGAGCAACATTATTAGTAATAATAAACAGCAATGTACCCATTTAAAATTGTACTTAGACCCATGCAATGGAATATTATTTTGGGGGGGGGGAGTAAGTTACTGATACATGCTGCAACACAGATGAACCTTGGAAACATTTTCTTGGGTTTTAAAAGAGTTCACCGTCCAATAAAAAGATCAGTAATTTTTTTTAAGTTCATGGAAAAATTCCATTATCTTTAAATTCCATTTTTCCTATAACTTTTTGAAGGTTCCTCATACTAAATAAAAGAAGCCAGTCACCAAAGACTACATTATATGATTCTATTTATGCAAAATAGACAAATCTACAGAAAGTAATTTGTGGTTACCCAAGGTTGGTAAGAGAGATGTGGAATGAATGCTAATGAATACAGGTTTTGGAGGAAGCTAATAAAAATGTTCTACAATTGACTATGGTGGGAATTGTACAACTCCATAAATACAATAAAAACCATGGTACTGTCTATAGAAAACAGCTGAATTGTATATAGTATACAAATTACAACTCAGATTTTTATTAAAACATCAGATAAAACTAAGATTTCATTCCTTAGACCTGCAAGTTTAAAACTTCAAATTAGAGCCATAGGAATAGAAAAATAAAAAGGGGGAAAAAAAAGAAATATAAGGAGTGGTACAATATGTGGACTCACGAAATTAGGAAAAACATGATTCTAAATGAAATTGGGGCAAAAGAAGAATTTTTGTTAAGCCACTATTATTTTATTGTTTCTAGAGGTTTTGCCAGGTGCAAAATAAGAAAACTAAGTATAGGTAAAGATAGAAAAAAGTAAGTCTGTATTTTGCTAGTATGAATATATACATAGAAAATCCAAGAGATTTGCGCTTAGGAATTTACGTATCAAGTTGTAAAATAAACTGAGATTAGGTTACTGTTAATGGATTAGAAATATTCACTGGAAAGTTGGTTTTGGCTCAGGAACCTGGAAATTTCACTAGATTCCACAGAGCACTGATTCTCTAACCACTGGCCATCAGAATCCCTTTAAAAAATTGTTAAAAACACAACTTCGAGTTTCTGATTCACCTAGGCTTGGGATAGAGCCAGTTACTTGCATTTCTACCAAGTTTTCATATGATGCTGACGCCAAAGACTACACTTGATTGTTATAGAGCACACAATATACCCAATCTATGATGGCTTCCACTTCTGCAGTCTCATTTTCTTGCACCATGAAATGCTATAATATCTTCCATTAAAAAAAAAAAAAGATCTTCCATTCATGATGTACTTTACATAGATGTGCTATTTCCTGTCTGATGCGCGTTCACATAGTTAAGTACAGGGTATGACTTACTGGGTCCTAGAAGTATGAATTATAAGGCAAACCAAGGCCGAAGCTACTGTTGATGCAGAGTGTTACAACACTTACTTTTTCCAAAATTATCTTTTATTGTAATAAAAACATAATTAACACCTGATTTAAAGGAAAGAGAGTGAAAACCATCTCACTTGACTTAAGCTGGAAGGCTGAATATCAATAAGTCTGGGTGAGAGAAGGCCAGCCACAAGACAGCGATTATAACCATCAAAAATGACTTCATTGAGAGACGGCCCTGATCTCTTTAAAAAAGTCAAAGTCTGTAACACATAAGATTGATGAGATTTCTGTCATTATGCAATTTAAATATTCAAATTCAAGAATAATTAAGTACATTACGCCACTTCAAATTTTAACATTTTGAATGAAATGAAAATATATCAATTAAAAATTGTGGAAGAGTATAAGCATTTCTGTGTTTTTTACAAGGAAAGGGATTATAGATTCTTGAGTTTATTCATGTATCTCGAGATAAACCAATTATAAATAATTGTTATAAATAAGTTATAAATAATAGTTATGACTAAGATATATTAAGTAGCTTCTATGTTTTTATGAAAGCTTATATGCATTACCATCAGAAAAATCGACATGTGGCAACAGATCTTGAAAAACTGACAAAGGAAACTTAGCAGTTTATTTGCTTTGATCTAATGAGAGAGATATCTGATATGGCATTCAAAAATTACCAATTAAAGTGAACTGCCACCTCAAATTTCCTCTTAAAATTACCTTTTCAGCACATAGTCTTCACCCACTGTGTGCAAATCACTGTGCTTGGTTATTTATTTATGTTATGTCATCTAAGTAAGTAATGCAAGAGCGGAGGCTTTCCTACAAAGAAGACTAGGGCTGTGGGAAGACAATGACATATTTCATTCTTTTCTAAGGGGTTCGAGAAGCTTAACATACACATAAAGGTGCTATACAATATTGCAACAACAGTTCTTCTGGTAACTTGTTAGGACTAGGTATTAATCTCCTCAACTAGCAGAAGCTGTCCTCTAAGCTGGAATAATCATTTATGACTTTAGCTTCATTATGCTCAGTCCATGTGGATAACTGGTACCTACCTCTTTCTGAAAGCCAGTACAAGTGATATGAACAACTCCCGAGTTTAACAAACAAGTAGCATCTAAGGTGGGGGAGGAGAGATAAAAAATCCAAGTATGAATTACAATGAAATTACATTAGTAGGGCAAATTTTATCCCAATAATAAACATATTGCTAGGTAAGGAACAAACAGTAACACCACTAAAGCAGTTTTTCCAGAATTGTCATTTTAACTTTGAGTACATAATACTATTATAATGTACTAATTATGAAATAGTTGCTATTTTATCTACCAAATTCAAAATAATAGCAACAAACTCTTTATTGAGGATTTATTATCTCTGGATAAAATTAATTTTCTACCTTATCCACCCCATACCGATAATGACATTACGTACAATAAGTACAAAAAGTATTAGGAAGTCATAGGCATTTTTATTAAACAAAATATAGAACTGTAAGGTTACTGTTTCTTGGCCTATCTTCCATCTAAGTCTATACACTTCTGAAGGCGGTGTTTAGATCCCCTCGGATGCCACAGTTTTAACTGGATCTTTTTGGAAGGGAACCAGAGACTAAGACACGTACATTACTGAGTAGTCTGCAACCAACCACGTACTGATCACACAACACGTTTAAACAGATTCTGTCTGGAATAAACTCGTGCATATGCACAAACTAGAACCCAAGCAGCAACATTCTTTGGACTTACCCTCATATATAAACTTCAAATACATCTACCTACTTTTTAGCATGTTACTTTTCTTAAAAAAAAAATGTTAAAGAGATACATACCAAAATTATAAGTACTTGGGTTAAAAAACTGCTCAGGAGGTGGATACAAAGGAGGAACTCCTCGACTTAAACTTCTCTCGTGGACTAATATATCCAAGATGTAATGTGGAGAAGTCCTACTCACAACAGAATCCAATGACCACAGTGCAAAATACGAGCAATTATGTAGATATTCTCCAGACCTGTGATAGAATTTACTAAATTACTGACCTGTTAGATAAACACACACACACACACACACACACACACACACACGAAAAAGGAAAAACAAACAAACCTTAATGAATCTGGCATTTGTGCGTGATACCAACGATTTATGTCAAAAAGTCCCAAATATATAGAAGGCTTTCCTTGTCCATATATATTCACCTGCCAGGTAAAGACTGAAACGCTGGTGTCAGGAGATAGAGCTGAAAG